GGGCCCCGCTCCCCCTCGCGCGGCGCCACCCGCCGCAGCCCTTCCCGCACCTCCCTCCCCGCCGCCGCGTCGCCGGCGGGGGCGTCCGGCCGCGCGCCGCCGTCTCCGGCGCGGTCAACGAGGCCAGGAGGCGCCCGCCGCAGGAGGGCGGGGAGGCGAAGCAGACGGATCTCGCCACGCTCGGCAACCTCTGCGTCGACGTCGTGCTCAGCGTGCCCTGCCTCCCGCCCGCGCACCGCGACGAGCGCCTGGCCTACATGGAGGGCCTCGCCGCCTCGCCGCCCGACCAGGTCGAGCCCCAGCCCCCGTTCGCTTGTTGCGGTGCGGGAATCCTCTGTATTCGCCCCCTAACTGTTCCGCGGTAGTTGATACTTAATAGTCTAGGGCTCATCTGCTGATCAGTCGTTATGATTTGCCGTTAGAAATGCTATCGGGCGAGAATTGTCATGGCTTTACCTTCCGTTACAATTTAGGGTATGCTCATGCTGCCATCGCTAAATTTTACAGCCTTCTTGCTTAATTATATCTGCCTGTAAACTGTGTGGATGGAGGGGAGTGGGGGCTTTTACTGAGATATAAAACTGTACACATACTATCTTTGCCTGATTATTGTTGTATTGTGAAGGGAAATGTGAGCGTGCGATGAAAATTGTAGGTGTCAGAACTGCTGAGGTTCATGATTCATCAGTAGTTGTTGTTTTATTATGCAACATCCATTCGTTTTAGCTGTTCTGATTATGTCTTTATCAACTGAACAGAAATATTGGGAGGCTGGTGGGAACTGCAACTTGGCATTCGCTGCAGCTAGGCTGGGGCTTCGCTGCTCCACACTGGGGCATGTTGGAGAGGAGGTTTATGGAAAGTTTCTTCTTGATGTGCTCGAGGCAGAAGGAATTAGTGTTGTCGGGATGCTTGAAAATGCTGATGTTACTGCATGTCGACATGCCTATGAGACGCTTCTATGCTGGGTTCTTGTAGATCCATTCCAGAGGCATGGATTCTGCAGGTCAGTTCTCATGCACCCCCTATTATATTAAATAGATTAGCCAATATTCTTGCTCGTATGATTTACGTGTTTTTTTACTTCATATTTACTGGTCTTTCCTTCTTTGCAAATTCAGCCGTGCAGACTTTAGTAAAGAGCCAGCTTTCAGTTGGATACGTAAACTTCCAGCAGAAACCAAGATAGCCATTCATCACTCTAAAATATTGTTTAGCAATGGATATGCTTTTGATGAATTTTCCCCTGATGTGATCGCATCTGCTATTGATTGTGCGATTGATGCGGGAACATCAGTATTCTTTGATCCTGGGCCTCGTGGAAGGTCTCTCTTACATGGGAACCTGGATGAACAGAGAGCGCTTGAGCACGCTCTGAGGCTCAGCGATGTTCTCCTTTTGACGGCAGATGAGGTTAGTTCACCCATATTATAAGCCCTGAAGTTGGATGGGTTTGCAGGATTATGGCTGATTTACTATTTGGTTATGTATGCTGCTTGTGCACACGGTTATATCCGAGTTATCACCCATTTTATATTCAAGTTCTGTGCTGATTTGGCTGCCTTCATAAACCTTTATCACTGAAGCAGCTTTGCATGCCTTCCTGAAAGTTGGTGTTACTTCTGTTTACAGAAGAGCGATCATATATATCCAGCGCAATAGATATCTTGTAGTCACATTCATTTGCTTGATGGACTTCTCTGGTAAAAACAAATCAAACAGCATATGTTCCAGATTCCTTTTTGCGTTCACTCTTCCAGATTGTCTTCATACATGTGATTCCATGTGTAACTGTCAATGATCAGTACTATATGGGTCGTGCCTATCTTTCCAACGAAAACGATTTTCTATTTGGCACATTGAACTTTTCTCTGAATATTTGCCTTTTCCAATAATTAAATAAAATGCAAAACACTTATCCTGAAATAAGATTGAGAGATACTCCACTGGCAAACATCAACTGCTTTTCTGAAGAATTTTATTTGCTGAATTTAACCTGGCTTAGAGGACAGTGCCTGAGTGTGCTGTACTTATTCTAGCATTTTCTCGCCTCATTTCTCACCACTTCCTGTTTATTGCTTTGACAGGCTGAGTCCCTAACCAACATCGGAAACCCAATTCAGGCAGGGCAAGAATTGCTAAGAAGAGGAACCCGGACAAAATGGGTTGTCATCAAAATGGGTTCTAAGGGATCAATCCTGATCACCGAAAGCGCTGTTTCATGTGCACCTTCTTTTAAGGTACTTGCTGTGCTGACGAAGGATCTTTGTACTCTTGGCACAAGTAATGGAAGTTATTTTTTCCTGAATTGTCATATTTTTGGTATTCACCATGCTTTGTATTTCCATAGATCCGCGTTGTGGACACGGTTGGATGCGGAGATAGCTTCACTGCTGCTATAGCTTTCGGGTTCCTCCACGGCTTGTCGGCGATTAGCACACTAGTACTAGCAAATGCAGTCGGTGCTGCGACCGCCACTGGATGTGGAGCAGGCAGGAATGTCGCTCACCTAGATAAAGTACTGAATCTCTTGAGAGAATCCGATCTCAACGAGGAAGGAAAAACATGGACTGAGTTGGTTGAAGGATGCTCAGTCTGTCCTGAAGTTTCAGTCCTGTCCAAGACGCCAGTCAATGGTTCCAGTGAGCGCTTTGTGAATGTTGTCCCTGTTAGCGGTGTGGTTTCCGACCTTTTGTCGATGCTAGAGGTGGCACCGGAGCGAAGCACCGTCCAGGCTTGATGCCATGCTGAGTAGTAGATTGTTGTATTTTTTTTTAAATCCGTATAGATTCTTTTTTATTTTTACTGGTTCATCATGCTGCTCTCAGGTGATGAATGATAGTTCGAAGCCCAGGCTTCTTTGAAAGCCTTTTGTTGATGAGAATGTGATTTTACCAAGTGGCAAGTGTGGTGCGAAGTCATCTTCCATATGATGATTTGATAAAAAAAAGAGAGGTGATTTTGGTAGTTTCCCCCTTTCTTCGTGTGATCTTTTGATAACTGTGCAGTGGCCGTCTATCTTTGCCCTAACTACGGTTATGTCTCAGTTACGATGACACCATGGACTGAGATCCTGAGATTGACTATCAAAACAGTGATGACGAACCCTAAATGCAGTGTGTGCTGCCTGCGCTGTCGACTCGTCTGAAGCTTGCCCCCCTTGTCGCGGTGTGACGATGAGGGGAACAAGATGAACTTCAACTGGGTGATTACCTCAGCTCCCAGGATGGCGATCTTCCCTACATGTAGTGCAAACTGAAATCCGAGGCCCTGGTGGAAGCATGACTGCTCCACTGTGGCTGTCAACCCGGGGAACAAGTTCGAAGCGCTCGTGCTATTTTCTGCTCCAAGGATGTTCCACTTCTCCTCCAGCCTAGTCACATTCCATGTCCCTTCTCCTGTTCCCCAGTCGCCTCGTCGCGACACAAAAGCATGCATCGTATCCCAGGTTTTGCAAGGCCACAGAGAGATTACTGCCGTACTTCCCAACTGGAGGCACTAGGCATCATGAAGTTCGCGTGTTGTCGCTGATCGACACACGTCGACAGACAAAGAAAATAGAGACTGGAAAAGAATCTCCACATTGTAATATGTAATAGTATGTCAATAAACATCATGAGACGCTACCAAGTCCTTCGGTTATTTCGACACTGCTGGAACAATTACTTGTTTCTTTCCAGTCCAAAAAACAGTAACTTGTGCTATATGTTCCATTTGGATATGACACAAGGTCAGAGGTTACTTAAGGACACACAATGGAGGAACTGTGTAAGATCTAATGATCACGCTGATTCAACGAGTTGTTGCTGTAGGTTACAAGAAAAGAGAGTAGAGTAATGCTAGGGATCACATTATATAACACCAAGTGACTGAATGCCTGGAAGTTCATACACTACACTGATAATTGGTGAGATGTGTCCTGTGAGATTATTGACTGAGGCGCTTTGATGGAAGAATCAACCTAAGGCTAATAATTTCAAAAGATATTTGCAATACATTTGCTGGACCTCATACAATGCATAAGGTCTCCTGAACATCAACCTATCCTGATACACATCCTATAAGCTATACGTTGTTTTTCCACAGCATGTTCTCAAACTCATTGCCAACAGATGGGCTACAACTATGGCCTATTATTACCTTCTGAATGCTGAATAATTTTGAGCTCATAGAGCTGTCCTATCTCTCTGCTTGGTAACGATTCTTCGCAGCTCCCTCAAATGACTAGTTATCTCCTGCACATATTGTTCTCCATCACTACTACATTTAAGAGAACTCAATATCTGCTTGAGAAACTTCTGATCTGCTTCAAGTGCCATGAGTCTACTATTCAAGAGCGAAATTTCTTGTTTAATGCTTTCCACGGAACTAATTTTATCATCATCTGAGCGCGAACATGAGCCAACATATTTTTGGTTCTCAACAGATTGATTTTCATCATTTCGTTGTAATGAGACGGATTCATCTTTCAGGTCTTCCTGCGGCAACAGTGAACTTCGGCATTCCAGTTCTGGGTTTTGTACGTATTGGCCAGGCCCATCACTTGGCTGATCTCTTAGTGATTCATCGTTCAAGTCTTCCTGAGGCAATAGTGAACTCCGACACTCCAATTCTGAGTTTTCTACATGTTGGCCAGGCCCATCACTTGGATGATCTCTCATTGAGTCATCTTTCAAGTGTGATTCATCGTTCATGTGTTCCTGAGGCAATAGTGAACTCTGACATTCCAATTCTGAGTTTTCTAGATCTTGGCCAGGTCCATCACTTGGATGATCTCTCAGTGAGTCATCGTTCAAGTGTGATTCGTCGTTCATGTGCTCCTGAGGCAATAGTGAACTCCCACATTCCAATTCTGAGTTCTCTACATGTTGGCCAGGCCCATCACTTGGATGATCTCTCAGTGACCCACTCTGTAGGATGTCACTTGCGCCACCCAAATCAAATCTATTTGTGTAAGGCACGCCAAGTGTTTCCTCTAATCTGCTCAAGGATTCCAAAATTTTGGCCTTCTCATCTTCAAAACCAAAGATGGTATTCCTCACAAAATCTGAGCTATCCAAGACACTGAGTGCCATATCTCCATCAACAGCGTCAAAATTCCCGAGATCAAATGGTTCGATGCGGAACTTGCTCTCATAACTTTCGAGTTCAGCTTCCAGGTCAAGCATTTCTTTCTCCCTTTCTGTAAGCAAGTCATTTAGCTTTCCAATTTCTTCTTGGTCATGATCAGCCTGCTCTTCCATCATCCGGAGATACTGCAGCGCCTCCATGTGCATTGCAGCCTTTTCCACTTGCAACCTATTGATCATAGCCATCGCTTCACTTGCTGCAACAGACGAAGCACTCCGTTCTGCCTCGAGCTCCTTATAAAGGATGCTTAGTTTTTTCTTGTTAAGCTCGCATTGCTTCTTCAGGGACTCAGGGGAGATTTCACCTTCAGCTTCAGTTGGAACATCAGATGGTTCCAGATCAAGGAACTGTCTGCCATCAATGGCATCAGATTGACTGTACTCATCAATCTGTATGCTGATTCTGGGGCTAGCAGCCACCTCACTCCAAGGACCATCGAGGCCTCGCGCAGAAGACAACTGGGACATGAATGTCTTCACTTCTTCATGTGTTGTTGAATTGGTTTCCTTAGCGGAGATTACTTCAGACCATCGAGGAGACCTAAGATTGCCTCTACCACCAGGAGCATTCTTCATGCTACTGTTGCGGTTGATATAATGGTTTGTAGTTGAGCGGGCCTCGTTAGATGCAGAAGCAGCAAAAGCCTCTGCAGCTTCCTGGTCAGGGCTTCGTGAAACACCCTCTAAATCGCCGACCTCCTCAACACCAACCAGAAAAGCTACATTTCACAAATTTGACATTCTCAGAAATAGTTTGGGTTAGATAAGGATTATAGCATTTTGGAAGACGATACATACTTTTCTCTTTCGGAAGCTCCTGACGAATTTGCTGAGGCACAGCCTTCGAGTGCTCGTCGAGATCTCTGGTTCGACGTTTAGCTTCATAAGGCTTTGCATAGCCGCCAACATCATCATCTGAGACATGAATCTCTGATTGAGAGTCATGACAGGCATTTAGCTTTCTGTAACCTCCGTGAGGCAATTGATCAAAATCCTCATCCGAAGAATGCCCAACGCTTGCCGTGGCCATGCTTCTCTCCTTCACTTTGCTCATTCCATCATTCTGAGACCTGCCATTCACCTCCTCAAATAACTTGTGCGCGTTGTCTCTCTTCGTGAATGGCTCTGAACAACAAGAACATCGGTGTGTGTGCCCCGCCTTCTCCTTAATGCTCATGTTTGTTGGGTTACCTGGCTTACCAACTGGTCCAGAACATGAAAGCAAGCACTTTCCACATAGATCATCAGAATGTGCGAGCTTACTGTGAATCTGGCAATAAGATAAACGCGCGATTTCCACCCTGTGTGCTGCACAAATCAGCTCCTCAGAGAACCAGGCCTTGCCATGCAGAACCTTGTCCAATCTTGAGCACAGCATGCACGGTGACCGGATCCTGCAGATGCGCGCGAACCTCGTCGCGGTATACGACACCACGGCGACCACAAGCAGCATTACGATGAGGAAGCACTCGCTCAAGGCATGGCCCAGCACCAGCCAGAATCGCCGCCAAGAGTCTCGCGGCCTCGCACGAGCTTTCGCAGCCATGAAAGATCAGGGCACCGACAATTTGCATGTAGGTTGCTCAAATGCCCGGCCTGTCCTGTGAACCTCCCATTAGTGCGGCACAAAGATGCTCAGATCACACCAGATTGTAAATGAGGAAACAACAGTCCTGCAACCTTGGTTACTCATGCCAACATCAGGTTCCGTAAGATGGAACCTTTTCTCCCAACGAAACTTTGCCGATGAGCCAAATTTCTGCAATAATCACGATGCTCTCAGCCTAGTAACAGGTTTTCCCCCAGTCGCCAATGCACATACAGATTGGTGGCAAGAACCCTCGATTTTTGATCTAATCTATCCTGCAAAGAAATCGCACCAATTTACCATTCAGGGTTCTCATACGCACAGCATCAGCATGTCGTGCAGATTCAAACAAGATTGTGATCGGGAAGCGGAACATACCGGTGCTGCTGCGGATCTCAAATCAAGAAGCTGCGATTCTCCAGATCAACAGCTCGGGCGGATGCGGGAGAGGGGCGTATGGCGGGATCGGGCGGGAGGCCCAGAAATGCGGGGAAAAGATCCCCAAAGAGGTTTGGAGGAAGTCTTGGTTCTTGGTTGTAAACAGGAGGGAAAATGGCTCGCTCCCATTCTCCGTAGGATTGGAGAGGGGAGAGAGGGAGCAGGGTGCCCGCGCCCGCCGTTTGTCCCCGCATTTCTCTCTCTAACCTTTGCATGTGGTGAGAGGGTGAGAGATTTAAGCATAGCCTCACCTTACCATGGCCAAGAAAAGACGGCAAATTTATATATGTACTGAATAATAAATAAAAAGAACTTAAAAAAATATATAAAGTTCCCTGTCCCGCTCCCCCACGTCTCTCTCGCCGTTCTCCGCTTTCGTCCTTCCACCCTCCATGGGTTCTTATTCGTCCAAACACTCCGATCACTCATACATGCCCACATACACACACACATACTCATCTTTATAAACGCGCACACACACATTATTTCTACGAGCATCTCCAAACCAATACAATATTTTAAGATTGACAAAGTCACCACAGGCGCCATCGTAGTCGACAGAAAAGTCTCCTTCCACTGAACAAACATCGCTGAAAATGCTGAAATAAATCTAGAAAAATATCTAAAACTTGAACCTTGATGGGCTGGTTCCATCACAAGAAATCTAACCACATGAGCAGTGCACCACTACCCTCACGCTATAGTGGTTCCGCCCTGAGATCGTCAGTCATCTGCCCTTCCACCTCCATAACCTATGGGTTTGTCGGGTGCCTCACTCGGAAGGTATTTGGCCAATGGTGCTACTCAACATCCTTTGAAAGATTTAAGCCTATAGGAACGCCATGACTCTCGACCACAACTATCACCACAACTCTATCAGGTTGCACCTCATCATCGAAGACCTTACACAAAAGACTCACCGGGTTAAGAAGATGGCTAACAAGGGAGCTACCTTCTCGTGGCAGTCATGCCTTTCTACACCTGCTAATGTGCCTTTGCCCGGCGGTGATTTCTCAAAAACTTTTTGCAACCTTCGATGTGATACCATAAAAGCTAAAACTAGAGAATGATCGATTTTTCGGTGCATGTATTGCCAAAGAGAGCACGACACAGGTATGGTATACGCGAAAAAAATAATCATGCATACCGGCTAAATTTGTTAGATGCCCATAGCTCTTTTTTTTTTGCCCAAGAGATGCCCATGGTTGACACATTTAAATTTAAATGGAACCAAAGCATGAGCTTCACGCAAATTGGATGTGCGTGAATTAATCTGATTGAAAAGCAGCTATTCAAAAATAATAATTAACCACTTTCCGTTTTAATGTGTCAAAAGAACAATGTGCTTACAATCCTACATTATAAATCCTCCGGTAGAGCTCCATTGATTAGTCATCGACATTGGCCATTGCTATCC